TGCCTAAATCCGTTCAGTAGCGTGGTTAAGATAACTCGCCTTTCCTTTATATTATGTATAGAAGATAGTAATTTTAAATAGGTGGCTACCCTACTCAAAAAAACTGAAAGTTTTTGTACATGCGAAGGCCATGCACTTTCATTTGGTATCTCATTTTTTATCCAACGAACGGTGAAGAGCTTATAGTATTTAAACAGGTGGCAACCCTACTTAGAAAAATAATACATTATTACAGATCCAAAGGCTAAGTCTTTGCATTTGACAGTGACGGTGCAGGACTGACGCCTACGTTTGTAAGTAATTTTCTTAACAGGTGGCAACCCTAATAAAATTCTAAATTAAAAAGGTCACTCTCCTATCGATACAGAATATATTAGAAAAAAACTTGTCAAAATCCGTTCAATAGTTTTCGAGATTACCGCGTACAAAAAATCTCGACTTTCCTTTATACTATGTATAGATGACTTCCATGCCACTAATTTTTTAGATATGATTTTTTCATACATATACATACGTATGCAACTCCTCTATCTATGTATGCTGTGGAAACAAATACAAATACAGTAATCTGTTAAAGAAAACTCTCTGATGGTCATGAAAGGTATGAAGCCTTCGGCATATCCAAAGACAGCACTGCTCTTATTTGTTTTTTTATGCATCCTGTCTCGTATGAGGAACGGGTTATTTTCTTCATATGCACCGACTATATGTTGTATTAATTTTTTTATTTATTTTTTAGTCTCAATTTCTTTCGTTGACATTTGATCAGATTTCATTTAAGTGATGGTTTAATACATATTTCTATTAACTTCTTTTTCATCAATTGCGATTTTATGCCAGTAAATCCGTTTGAAACTATTTAGAATATTAAGATCCACAATTAACTTATACCAATATGCATAATTAGGTTGAGGTCCGCAACATTGAACGGGGAGTGATATCTTTGATTTTTTTACTTTATAAAGCTGAAAATAATTCAATGATAATTTATTTTCTGATAGATATTTTGAAAAAAATTCGTCAAATATTTTAGTCGCTTTTCATTGAAGTTAAGTTTTGTGGTGTCCTTACAGCCGATTCTATGCAAAAACTTCCGCTCCGCCTCATTCAGTATGAACACCTTTTAGCTTCGCTTTACTTCGCCTTGCTTCGTTCCGGTTTTAGTTCAGAACTTCATAAGCTAACCCATCCGCCGCCAGTCTTTTCACCCAATCTATTGTACCCTCGTCAAAAATATTTTAGAGAAATATATGTAGGTACAGCTTTCCTTAACTTCTCCCGTATGATATCCATAATCCATCGTATGGTATCCATAATTTTAATTTATTAATATAACTTTTTTAACAGGTGACAACTCTCTTAAAAAATATTTTCGAAAAAAAGTATTTTTAAACCTCTCGTTTGACAAAAACTAAATTGATTTTGAAATTCTTATCTGGTGGCAACCCTCGTCAAAAATATTTTCGAGATAGTAACAGCTTTCTTTAAACCTCTCTCGCTTGATACCGATATTGAAATATTTTATTTAACTTGTTACTTAAATTCATTTGCAATTCCTAAACAGGTGGCAGCCCCCTTTAAAAATATTTCATAAATCCCTCTTCTTTGAAATGTATAATAACATATTTCGTTTAACTAGTTATCAAATTCATTTTAAAATTTTAAACCTTATTAAAGAAATGTTTCTAAATAAATCGTATTAAACCCTTTTGTTCGACACACAAATTATTGTGATATTTAACATAGCTTACTTGTAAGTTGAATCTCACTTCTTAGACGGGTGACAACACCCTTATCAATCTTGGGATCAATTCCCTAACTTTTCCAAATTTTATAGCCGCAGACACGTGATGACCCGCTAGGTTTTGGGTGTAAATAAACTAATACTTAGACATATTGGAGTGTGACTTTCTTCTACGAAAATGATCAGCTTTGTTCCCTCTTTAAAAAATATGCCATTGTTATTCTTTTGCAAAAACTTTATTGTACAACTGGCGAAGATTTTTGGTTTCGGCCCAAATCGACCAACGATTGTTGCGATTGTTGTGCCCAATTAGAGACATAACTAATCTCCGTAAATTTGTTTTAATGAGTTTTATGTATTTTTTCTTTGCATTTATATTTTTACCACTTCTTCAAAAGATGCCGATGACACCCACATCAGTGGGCTCAACAACCCCTCAACCCCCTTTGCTCATTGGAGTGTTCGAGAAAAGTATTCTTCGGAACACTTATCTACGGGACCTTGCGCTCTCTTTAGATTTATCTTTTAATTAAATTTGGTTAGGGCTAATTATTTTAGAATACGGTCAAAAACACTTCTCAAGCAAGGCCACTTTTTTTCAAATATCTTAACTTGCAGCTTGCAGTGCAACTAAAACCTTTCAACCATTTACATGCACAAATTAGACTTCCGTCATTGCGCTAGAAATCTCAACTGTCAACACCGAATTCTAGCCTTTCAACACACATTTTTGAGAAAAATTGCTGAGCTCAAATCGGACAACAGAAAAGTTACAGTCAGTTGTACGTCTAAGTGGAAAGCAAGGAAACATTCGTGAGGGAAAAGCTATGTAGGTACGAGTAATATAATATGATAAACTGTCAGCTGCACTGCAGCCGAAAAGGAAGAAGGAGAACGTAGAATGGAAAATAGCCAATAAGTACAAAATTAATCTCAGCTATCTGTAAAAGACACACCAGTCGCTTAGTAGTGAGTTGTTTTGGTGAAGTGGAAAGCAGAATAGCAAGCAAGGCATGCAGAGCCAACGTGCTGGGTAAGGAAACGATAGTTAAATTTCTAAGATGGCAATCGAAATCTTGCCAACTGACTGCAACAATGTCAACGTCAATTACAACACCGAAAAAAAGTGGCAAGAATAGTGTCAGTAGTGCGAGCAGCATTTACTGTTACCATTGCCGATGTTTAATTTAGATGCTGGCATTGGAGCAGCACATATTGGTGCTGGCTGGCAATGAGTACTATATACATATATACATATGTAGGTAGTAGCCGGGGTGGCAGGAGCTTGGGTGTGGTGGCAGGAGCTTGGGTGTGGTGGCAGGAGCTTGGGTGTGGTGGCAGCAGTGAGAACAACGCAGTGCGAAACGCAGCTGTTGTTGGCAAACTATGGAAAATTAGATTTTTTTCTACCAATATTGTGCGGCAATTTATAACGAAATGCACAAAATGGTCGTTTTCGAGGGCTTATAAATTTTATTTGAATTCATTCACTAAAATCGCTTGAATATTTTGCAGCTGTGTTTACAGAGTTCTTGCAATGCAGTGCCGATATTCGTATATTTTTTAAATTTTATGCTCACATTTTTTCAAACATTTAAATTTAAACGGGTATAATCTAGGTGCGCAATAACCGAATGATGAAATATTAGTATAGAGCATTCATTGTATGTAGGTATAATGCTTGCGAAAGCACTCATCATGAATGTTTGGCAAAAGTGGTAAGCTCTCGTAATGGTTTGGCATCTTCGTGGTTGGTGTGGTCATCCCATTCCCCTGAAAATTAAAAATTTTGAAATTTCTCGGCACTTATAAAGGCAAAGGCCATCAAAGTGGCCCTAGCGGAAGGTAGTCATGTTCAAAAGCTTCTTTCACTCTTACTGGGAAGTTATGATATGCTCCGAGTCAAAAGGTCTGCAAAAACGACCCTCGGAGATGAAGAAACGCTAAGAGTAGAAACCGACAAAATTGACAAAACTACGAAGTCTCTAACTTATTCGCTGAATACGAGTATATGCGAGGGTTGTACGCACAAAAATGCGAAATGGCAAGGAAGAAACTTAAGACCTCCATAATGATAGAAAAATTGGAGAAAAGCTGCGTAACAACGTTAACAACGATACCTGGGATCTCGGGTATAATGTTACCGGCAAAACTCGGAGTCATGGCATATAACACTGCAGCGCGCTGATAGCATTCAACAGGTTTAACCCTCCGTTGGGTGATGTGGCCTACGTAGGCCATTTAGATTTTCAAAGATGTATATCTTCTTTCTTCGTTAAGTCTTTAGAATCGGCGACAATATACCATACCCGTCGACGAACTGAAGAGTCAAAGAATTCTACAATCATTGCCGGCGAACGGATAAGGAAAATAATCGGTTTTATAAAAAAAACTCATTTTCTGTGGTAGTGGAAGTGTGCAGTCTTACAAAGAACAAAATTTTTAGTTACTAGAAAATCGGATTGATTTTTGGCAATTTTTTTTTACGCAGGTTCTTCCAAACAAAGTATGTTCGACAATTAGCTTTTTTATGGAGAAAATGAGCAACACGTTCTACAGATAAGATATTCACGGTGTGGAGATCAAAAGCCACACTTGCAACGTCTGTCTAGCCGCAGGACCAACAACTACATAAACAGTTTTTATATTTAAGGTTTTATATATGAATTTTGCACAGTAATTAGTAAAAAAAAATTAAAAAAAGATACCTTTTATCGCTTCTCTTACAACTATCTATATACCAATTTTTGGGTTCAAAGGGTATTGAAACTTAAAAAGGGCCCAAATTCCACCTTTAGTCGCACAACGGCAACACTGCTGAAAAAGTGCCTTCGATTACAACTTCGTCGATTTTGTTTTTAGTTTTGCGGTCCGGGGGCATCCACTTAGCCTATTGAGTATTTTTAAGCTAGAACAATATTCTAAATGGAAATGTAAACATAAAATATTTTGCCAGACCCCAAAAATATATTGGCCAAAGAATTTTTATAAATAAAAATTGGAAGCACTTAGGTATAAATTCACGTTTTCATAAATTTTTCAATTTCTAAAAAAATTGTTAAAGCTACTTTATTTTTTATGAATACGGCTATTAATATGTATATCTCGATGGAAAGTAAATTTTTTGTGAGAAAGTGTTTTCTTCTTAAACTTTATTACCTAGTTGGTTACATTTTAATAATCAATATTACATTCTCAACTGACTATCTTATTAAAATGGAAAAGTTTGTTCTTAAAGTAATGTGAATATAAAAAATTACCGAGCTACGAGAACTTTACCAATCATCGCCTCTTAGATTTTCATACTGATTGCAATAGGATAAAATCTCGATGTAGGTGCATCCTTTGTTGCAACATTCATCGTACACTCCTTGACGGCGACGACGTGTCTTGGCTAGCGTGTCAACTTGGCCGCCATGAATCTTTCCTAAGAAAGGTGAATTCGCATAGGGAAATGGCAACTCCTCTATCAGCTCATTGGCGCCATGTTCATCCCACTCTACTGTAATTGCATTGGTTTTTATTTCTTATTTTTTTAGTACTTTTTATGGAAATCAGATACGCAAATCTTGAAAATAGGCATTATTTAAGTGTACTCACGAGATTTTTTAAATTTCGTATTGAATCCATGCACACAAAGTGTGCTGAGTACCGCATCCAAAGCGGGGCCACATACGGTTCGTCGAGCAGTTATTTGTTGCAAACTTGCTACTAAAACAAGCAACAAAGCGCAGATTTTAAACAAACTTAGCGGCATCATTTGTTAGATTATTTCGTATGTATGTATATTCTCAATTATTTTGTAACGCAAATTAATCTTAGGGGATTAGAAAAGCAACTGTTGAAATTTGCAGTTTCCGACTTTGCTTTTATACCACAAAGTTTTCGAAAACAGTTCAAGCGCTGGAAAATTTTGATGCCTACACGTTATAGCATCTGTCAATTTAATTAGTTTCACAGTTTTCTGCCTGCAAAGTAAACATGAATATGAAATAATTATGTTGCATATTTATGAGCGCAGAAGTGGGTATGGGAATATATTATTGTGAAAGATTAGCGGTGCTTCATAAACACATATGTGCATTTGCAAGTATGTGTAGCAAAATATGTACGAGCATAGGTTGTACGTATTCAGCTTATTCGCAGTGAGAGCGGGAAGGCTTGAATTCAGTGTTGCCAATTATCGGCTTTTCCTACCAAAACTGGTAGGTTGGTAGGCTAGATTGAATTTTGGTAGATTCCGCGACAATAAAAGTTATTTGCAAAAAATATAAAATATTTATATCCAAATATTTTAGAAATCTTGTTTACACGAATATTTCACCGGTGCCTTCGTATAACGGCGACCGTGAAGATGTAAATATACATACCTGATTCGTAAGTACAATATTGCCAATATAAAATATGTACATCCAAGGTATATATGTACTTTATGTTCCTACAACTTAGTTTCAATTGAACTCAACTATAAACTAAATATGAATGTACATATATGTATGTACTGAAGACTGCTGTGTTGAAAAGGGCTGGTCAGTAAACTCACTGAAGTCCACCTGAGACAGATACTTCGTGGTAAGACTTGGGGAATAACACCAAAACTAACATATTGGTCTTTCAATACGGTAGTAAGACCCGTTGAACACATATGTGGCACTGGCCTGATGGCCAAAAGCTAAGCAAGCAATGGCGGCTGCCACTTTGAGCAAGCTGCGCCGATTGGTCTGCGTGGCCCTCACAGGAGATATGGGCACCTGTCCAACGAATGCCCTTTATATCATTACAGACATTCCTCCTTTGTCTATTCTGTTTGAAAAAGAGGCCTGCTGAAGCGCTCTACAACTGCCCAATATAATCAGCAAGAAAGTTGGAGACCTACTGGGTCATTCTCAAGGCAGGTTCTGACCCTATAAGGTACCAGAATTCCTGAAAAGGACTGCAGTGAAGTGATAACAACTATGATTGACGAAGCGTCCCAAGTATGGTATACCGACGGATCAAAGATGGAACAAGGTTCAGCAAAAGTCTGCTAATTTGCACATACCCAACTATATTCCAGGCTGAAGTCTTCACAGTCGAGGTCTGCGTAGAATGGCAAATGGGTTCAAAATAAATATAATGTCAGATAGTATGGCTGGTTAAAGGCCTTAGCCTCTTTTAAAATGGCATCAGGCTTGTGGAGAGCTGTAAAACTCGTTTGAACATGTGTGTAAGTCTGTATAGTAAAATGAATTGTTATACGTAGTTAACTTGTTTTTGTTGTACAGTGTTTTAGTTTCACTAAATCTTATGTTATCTACATTTTTAATAAACTTGGCATTCGATAAACAATTTAAAACCCCCAAAAAGTTTTGGTAGGTTTTGGTTGGTCTTGGTAGAAAATTTTGGTAGGAAAGAGAATTTGCGCGTGGTAACACTGCTTGGATTCTCTATTTGAAGCCGGTAAGAGAGAGAGAGCAGCAAGGGAAAGAACCATGGAATTTTAATCCTGGTGCAGATAGCATGAGAACTAAAAAAGTCTGAAGAAAAAGCAACATGGTTTATCTGTGCACTAGCGAGCTCCTTTGCGACCAGAATAAATAAACTAGACAACAGTTAGGAAAGTGGTAAAAAAATTCAAAAGAAAAGTGGGAAACACACGTAGACACAGAGGTTTCCAGCTTTTCTGAAAATAGACAAAACTAGTTGCGCGTTCTTCAACCAAATTCTGAGGTAGAGTGTTTTTCAATAAAATTCTGAAAAAGGGCGTTCTTGAAAAGTTTTTTGGATTAAGTGTTTTTGAACTGGCTGCCGAGATAGGTCGATCTTTCACTCAGCAATCGATATGCGTATTTCGCTCACCGATTTATTAATATCTACCAAAATCTATATGATGAAGTTTTTGAAATGGGGATTTGGAAAATGGACGTAGCTCCGCCTACTTATGGCAACATAAGTGCAACCCGTTTAGCGCTTAATCGATTTCTGCCAAACTCGGTTCAATTATTTCCTTAAGGGCCGTTTTCTCGACTGCCTGCTAAAAATTGATTGGCTGCTATAAGCAAGTGAGCGATAAATTTGACACGTAGTCAACGCACGAGTTATCTTTAACCGGAATTTTAGAAAACGGCCGAAAGTCTAATTGAGCATATTATCGCAAATGTTTTAAATAGCGGAAAAACATCCTTCCAAGTTTTGCAGTTTACAGAAAGGTGAAAAAACCCCGGTGTGCGCCGGGTATAAAAAACTTGGTTTTGCCAGACCATTTTTACCAGTTAAAGGGCTATTTGAAGCTCTCAGGAAAAAGCACAAGAAATATTTTTCCTTATTTCTGTTGCTTGAAAATTACGTTACTTTCGCCATAAATTTTCTTGAAGAAAGAAATATACGAGCCAAGGCAAATTAATGTAAGGCGCTGTTGTTTCAGCAGCTGTAAATAGTGTGTTTGTATTTCACTAGTGAGTGAGGGAAACCTGAAGCTGAAATTCGACAATGCTCCACTAAAAGCAAAACAATATACAAGTGATTTTTGTAGATATTTATTTATCGATACCACCATAAATGAATTCGCCTTGATACGAGCATTTGTTTCTTGAGAGCTGTAGACTGATCTAAGAAATTTTGATAGAAGAAAATGTATATGAAATTTTCGTCCATCATTGGAGGGACGTACATTTTTACGCCGACTCGGAACGGTGCTTGAATTTTTATGAGAAGCTCTTCTTCATGGCCGAGGGGCGACCGCTATCAGATACAATTTTTTTGTTTTATTTTTTAATGTACATATTTATATACGTACATTTAATTATCTCGAGTAAATGCTCACTAAGAAAACAAATTTCCATTTATTTTACGCATAACTTCATGAAATACGCAGCTGATATTGCACTATATAAGTTAAGAATACCACTATATTTAATAGAATTAAATAAAATTAAATTTTTTATACATAACAAGAAAAATTCCAAAAAATTATCTCTTAAACGATATAAGTGCCTATCATTAAAATTTTCTTCAGCTAAATTAGAATTGTTCTTCGTCGGTGTTCCATTGAGCCCTACAGATCTAACAGAAAAATTTATTTGCAATACGAATATAACTCATTGTAGGTACAACTTTTGCGGCAACATTCGTCGTATACACCCTCACGACGGCGACGAGTCTTAGCCAATGTGTCAATTTGTGCGCCATGAATCTTAGCTAGGTAGGGAAAGGGCGCCGCCGCATAGCGTGAGGAAGGTTCATCTTCAAGCTCAGCGTGGCCAAGGTTGTCCCATTCCACTAAAATTTCATAATTTTATATTTTTATATGTAAATAAAAAAGAAAAATTAAATATGATTGCTGCAAAGTGTATTTTATATGCAAGTGGAAGCTGTACTTACATGACTTCTTAAATTTTGTATTAAAACCATTTTCGCAAATAGTGTCTAGTACAGCATCTATTGCTGGCCCACAGACTGTTCTTTCGGCGCTAATTTGCTGCAAAAATGCAAATGAAAGAAGCAGCGAAGCGCAGATTTTGAAAAGATTCAGCAACATTGTAAAATTTATGATTAACAAGGAGGTCTATTTAGCTCCGGTTCTGTTGGATGCAACTTATTGTGGAAGCTGTGCAAAATTACTGCTGGAATATGCAGTTTACTAGAGTGCTTTTATACTGGCGAATATGCAAGGTTCTAAAAACCATAAACAAAAGCAAGGATGTATGGTATGACGCTTTATCCCACTTTCTCTGCTTTCAGTTTCTAAAGAAATTAAGGTTGTAAAGGAATATATAGATATGTATCTTTTTGTATTTACATACATATATGCGCTTATGCATTAATAAGTTGCATATTTAGCACGTAGGTGTATGAACACAAATTTATATTGGTTTATTCGACACATACATACATTCAGACATGCAGATCTCGTCGTTTAAAGTACAAAACCGCGTATCAAGATGATGCAAAACGGCGTATGCGAGGTTGCATAAATTATTTTCTAGAGAGTAAAAACCGTCATATTTCAAAATGGTTCTCTTTCTTATAAAGCAATCGCATTTCTGGCTAGTATATTTCAGGACGAATGTATAAGGATTGAGCCAAGAGCTTGTGTGAGCAAATCTAATATTTGGCAGTCAATGTCAGTTACGCGGTTTTATACTTGAAACGACGATATGTATGTACATTATGGCGGGTCAATTTGTTCTTAGAAAATATAACCGACTTTGTTTCGACGACTGAAGTATTCTACCGCTAATTACGAACAAAAAAGTCAATGGAAGTATAGCTCGAAAAAAGATTTCGAGCCTACTTATTTTAATTTTATTTATTGATTCCTAACCAATTTCTTTTTTATATTTGGTAAACATTTTTTTTTGGAAGAAAATTTATGTATCTCGATTTTTTTAGATTGCTGATATCACTATTGAAAAATGTTTCATATTCAAAGATTCCTTAAGTACCTTTCGTTTCATTTCAAACTTGTAATATTGCATATATATGTATGTTATCAATTTGGAACCGTTTTCTTAAGTATTTCAAGTGCCCTTCACTCACACTTTTTCGGAACAAAATTTGCGTTCAAAGGGCAGATGCAGATATACATATACATTTAAAATTTACATAAATACATATTAGGTCTAATTGAATTAAATTTGTCAAACAGGTGATAAACTTCTTAAACAAATATTTAGAAATTAAGCTTTCTTAAAACACTTTGTTTTGGCACCCGTGTCATAATATTTCATTTATCTTATCATATGAATTGTTTTACATTCTTCAAACAGGTGGCAACCCTCTTCAGGAATATTTTCCAAACTAAGCTTTCTAAAGGACTTCGACACCTATATTGCAACATTTCA